CCAGTACGAAAGAGTACCTTCGGCCGCAGAAGCCTCAGCAGCGCCCGAGGAAGAAGGTTCTTTCCTTTTCTTAGAGGCGACCCTCTTCACCTTCGGCGCCATCGGGGGTATGAGGAAGGGAAGATCTGGGTTTACTCTGAGGAAGATGATGAGAAGGCTGTAGGTCCTCTTGATAGAGAGTAAGGGTGTTAAATACCCTAAGAACTCTAGGCGGTTACTCGATGCTTGATTAGACCGTTCAAGGCTAACACAGTTGAAGGGTAAGGCCAAACGGATCGGATCTTACCTGGACGGACGAGATCTGACGGTTCGTGACCATGATCTGCAACAACGGCCCGAATCGAGCGCGAGAGACGAAGAGGCCCACTACTTCGCATTTAATGCGAAACGGCTAGCACACGTCTCCTTAACTGGCGTACACGTGGATTGACACGTGGCCCACTGAAAGCGGAACCCAGTCAGAACTGCGTACACGTGGATTGACACGTGGCCCACTGAAAGCGGAACCCAGTCAGAACTAGATTCACCGTCAAGACCTCTACAAATCCTCCTGCGGGCAAAATTCGCCTGCAGACGAGATAATCCTACGGCAAAAACTCGCTGGCTAGAGTTCCCCTACAGTTGAGGTTCTCCTACGGCCAAATTCTGACTAATGCAGGATAATAAAATGGAGCACACACGCAAGTGACAATAGACCAAAAACAAAAGGATAATTTTATTCATCGAAAGAAATCCTAGTACAACTAGCAATCAAAGATAAAAGGGGCAAATTACAAGGCTTTCAACCGTAATTCTACCTCACGGATCTCGCTAGCGTGACGAAGCTCCAGCCTCCGCAGGATCTCTTGGCGAAGATCTTCCTCTGTACGCGAGGTCAAGTCTTGGACGGTCTCCTTGACCTTCAATGCTTTCCAACTCCTTGACCGCCTGTTCACGAGCCTTCTCCTGAATGGCCAATGAGGCTTGCGCCTTAGCTATAACCTGCTTCAAATTCTCTACCTCCGAAGACAAGCGAGAAACGCGGTTATCGGCCTTCTGTCGCTCGGAGGCCGTCCGTTCATCCTCAGCCTTGGCCTGCTCCAACTCTGCTGACAATTTCACCTCCAGTGACATAGTCTCGTTCAGACGGCGATCGCGTACTTCCACTGCTGCTCGGGCTTCGCCGGATGCAAGACCCACAAGAGTGGAACTCTTCGCGCGAAGGGCGAGCAACCGACCCACAAGAGTGGAACTCTTCGCGCGAAGGGCAAGCAACCGCTGAATAGCTTCTTTCACTTCCTCCTTACGCTGGAAGTAAGGCTTCGCCCCAGAGTGTTTAAGCCTTTTGATTAAGAAGCCCATGATATAGTCGAGATCCTCTTCGAAATCCTCGAAGGGACAATTCTCCTCCAAAGCGAGTTTGATGCAGGCAGCTAGAGTGTCTTGGAAATCAGCCACGGATCGTGCCGCACTCCTTTTTCGCTCGCGCTCCAAGGGAGAGAGGGCAGCCTCCTCCGCCGTGGATGAAATTACGGTTGAAGTACCTTTAGTCATAACCGTAGAAGTAGTGATTGGCGCCGCCAAAGTCGGCGTGACCAATGACGCCCTCGGTGCAGTGGTCACAACATCAACGGCCGCCGCCGACGAAGAAGTGGTCACCTGCAGAGTAGAAGCCTCCCGTTGAAGCGGAGACTCTCGCGCTGATGAACGACCCCCAGCCGACGCTTCTGCGGGAGCAGGAGATCCCCCTATTTGGGCAGGCGCATCCTCATGAGCCCAATCCTCTTCCTCACTTGACAGCGCCTCATGAATCGAGACGTTGTCATCCTCCTCAGATTCGCCCATCTCCCCAGATGAGCGATTCACCCAAGAGTGAGGATCCTCTTTGCCAGCGACTTCAAGGGCAGGATCAGCTACAAATGCACGAAAAGGGTTAACAGAGACCCCTCGAAAGGGACCCTACTAACGGTCGGGTACGGGAGGAGGAGTAATGCTAAAACACACGCTTACCTGAGCCGGTGGGCCTCTCCTCATCTCCAGCCTCCTCTTCTTCGTCAGAAGGAATGGAGATCACTTTCTCAATCGCACCTGCATAGGTCCAATGCCAATGTCAAAAGGTATGAGATCAACGTTGCGATCAAAGACATTGTTGCAAAGATTACCTCCTGATGCGGACGCAGAAGCCGCTGGGACTCCCGTCTGTGGCCTCACGCCAGACTGCGGAGGAGCGTCCTTCGAAGTCGCCGGAGCCGCCCCCGATGCAGCAGAAGAGGCGGGCAGCGCAGCTCCACACCCAGACGTCACCGCTCCGGGGATGCCTGCCTGGGGAACGTTATCCTGACCTTCCGCCGCTCGGACGGTCTCCGCTGTCTCATCACGACGGACCTTCTTAGCCGCCTCCGCTCGAGAACTCTCGGCCGCTGCCTCCCGCTGACGCTTCGA